AAATTTATAACTCATATGAAATGGTGACGGGACAGCTATCTTGTAAAATAGTAAACTATTTTGATATTATTACCAAAAAAGTGCAAAACTTTTACATTAACACTGATTCAGTGGTTATTGTTGACCATCACTCTAAACACATTCAAATAACTTCTAATTATTAATATTATAAATGATTTGATTATCATTTATTAGTTATTGATTGATCCCAGATTAGTGTTGCATAAATTTAACGATTGATCAACTATTTCACAGATTTTAAATATTAACCTTAATTATAGTATATTTACCGGTCATCACTGTCCGCCATTTTAGGCTATCGTATGGCAGCTTATATGATAATCTCGACCACAGCAATATCAGCTTTTTTAAAAAAAAATCTTAATTTAGCCATGTCTAAGTAAATGGCCGTTTACGGTACTAATTTAATTTATGCAATTTTATTTTATTTTATTTAAACTTTTAGAAATAAATTGATTGCTAATAATGTCATTGATTTAACTTTTTTCTTGTACTAAATGAAACAAAAATTATTTTTGTCTTTCGTAAGAATTTTTCAAAGAATTTTCATTATTATTATTATTATTAATATCATATCATATCATATCATCAAAAACCCAATCTTTTCATTCAATATAAATGACATTAAATAATAGCAAAAATAAATGGTTTTTTTCAATTACTGATTTGTATTATATTTTTTAGTAATTGCAACACCTATTTGACTGTTTGGAGGAAATGATGTATAAGTAATAAAGTAATAGAGGAGGCGATGTCCTAATTATACTATTTTTATTATATATTTATATATATTTGTTGCCAAAAAAAGTGGAGGAAATTTTGTGCCAAAAGATCTCTAAGTTTAGGACAAAAGATAATTGATTGGATGTGAAGTGACATAAGAGTCAAACACAACAAATAAATTATTTACAATTTGTGTAAAAACATGTGTTAAATGACTGTTGAGGTATTGTTTAACATAATTTAGATAAAAAAATTTTTATCATTTAAAAAATTTGATTAATTATCAACAAATAATTCATTAAAAAATTATAACATTTAGTTTTTAAATACTTTAAACACATTAACATCTGTTTTCATAATAGTATAGTATTAATATTATTTTATAAAAATAGTTTTTATTTAATTTTAGTATCAGACAGTATTAAAATTAAATGTTAACATAAATAATACTTTAAAAAAACTATTTTATTTATTATCTAAATATAACAGTTTTAATTATAAATACTTTTTAAAAAATGTTTTGTTTATATTTTGTTTAAATATCGTAAAATTATTATTATATTTTATTTACAAAAACATGAACAAAAAATAAAAACTGTTATATAATTGTTTTTATAATGAATGTTAGTAAATACTGGATATTTAAAAAATTATGTTAATAATAAAATACAAAAATATAAGCCAATTAAAAAAAATCAAAGATATAAAAAACTGTTCATTGGATTCAATTTAGAAAAACCTAAAGTTGTTTATTATTGAAATATTCACTATTTTGCATCAAATATACAAACAAAATCAAATTGATTACACAAAAAATAATATTAATAATCTGAAAAAACAATTATAATATTATGATTTTATAGTTAATTATTACAACAAAAACTATCAATTGGGGTGTATGTTATAATTTACATGTAAATTGATTTTTAATAAATTTATATTGTTTAGAATCAGTCAATTTATTTATATTATTTTTAATATAAAAACAATATTAATCTAAAATAATTATCAATTTATGACTAAAATTAATTTAAAACATTAAATGTTAAAATTAATAATTTTATTATTATTATAAAGTCACAAATAAATTAATTTTTTGAGTATCATCATTAATTTTTAAATAAATAATAAAAAAATAAGTTTATTTATTTACAATAATTTTTAAATATGTTTATAATTTATAAGTTATTATATAAAGTATTATAATAATTAATAGTTATAGTTTTTAATATCGGAACAAATAATATTTGAAAAAATTGCAAAAATTATATTACAAATTATTGAAAATTGTCAGTATTTTTGTAACATTACTTCAATTTTCAGTATTATTTATAAAATTAGACAAATGTTTTCTTAAATATATCAAAACATAATTAAACATTTTTATTTTATTTTGATAGCTTATAAAAAATTTACATAAAATAATAATATTTATTTATAATTTTATATCATTATTTATAAAAAATTTTATGGAAAATTTCTAAATAATCAAATTTGTTAACATTACTCATAACTGTTTTATATTAATATTTTTAAAAACCTTTTTAAATAATAAATTTATTTTATAAATACAGTATTTAATAATATTTAACCCAATTTTAATTGTTATTTATTATCAATAAAAGTTTAGTTATAATAAAAAACAAAATTTTCGTTTAGCACTATTTTCTATTTATTTATTTATTGTATAATTTGATTCACTTTTTATTTATATAAATAAAAATAAAATATAGAAAAATTGTATTAATAGTAATAATGATGATATGTAATAAAAAAGTTAAACCATTGACCGATATTTATCTGCTACAGTAGTGGTTCATTAGACAATTTATTACGATTAATGTTTATTATAAATTATTATAACTATATATAACTTTATATAATCTATTGTGATATATCTTAACTGCTATAATAATAATATTGTTTTATAGCATCCAAAATCATTTTATATCATAATTAGTAAAATAAAGTAATTTTTATTTGTAACATATTTCCAAAAGATTTAGTAATAATTTTAACTTCAAGTGATATAACTTATTTAATAAATTAAATCATTGAGTTTTGTGTAGTTGGCACTCATTTTTAATAAATTTATGTGATTTAATCACTTACTTGTTGGCCAAACTTAGTTAACCGCAATAACTAGCGATATATTGGACACGTGTTTCGGAAAGAGATACTACTTTCCTTCATCAGCACTGGCGGTCAACTGAGATATATCTCAGAGCCGTGTGTTTACCATTAGTGAGGTTAGGGTGCGAGGGGTTCGAGATATGCAGTTATTGTGTATTTATTTAAGTAATTCAATATAATGTGAATGTTTATAGATTTGTGAAATTTTTAAATATAATTTTAATGAGAAAATTATTATTGTATATACAATGCCAACAGAATCACATTATATTGAATTACTTAAATAAATACACAATAACTGCATATCTCGAACCCCTCGCACCCTAACCTCACTAATGGTAAACACACGGCTCTGAGATATATCTCAGTTGACCGCCAGTGCTGATGAAGGAAAGTAGTATCTCTTTCCGAAACACGTGTCCAATATATCGCTAGTTATTGCGGTTAACTAAGTTTGGCCAACAAGTAAGTGATTAAATCACATAAATTTATTAAAAATGAGTGCCAACTACACAAAACTCAATGATTTAATTGTGAAACACATTAATGTGGACGGCCTTAGGAGGTACAGGTCATGGGAGAGAGATATGCTGAAAATAGTCAGGTATAGAGAACATATTACTTTTAATAAAAAATGTTATAATTATGATATAATTCCCAAAAGTTTAATTGTCAAATCAGTTGACAATATACCCGAGTCTATACAAGCTGCTAAAATATGCAGTCTAACTTTTCTTAAAAATAGATTGAATGCATGTTATAAAAAATTAAAATTTTTATATAAAATAAGTGATTTAAAATTCAAACAATTTAGTAAATATTTACCTGATAATATTATTAATGATATTAAATTTAGAATTTTAAAAGTTTCTAATAAAACAAAAATATATACAAGGTCAATTCATAAAAGAAAATTTAATGAATTACTTGAATATCATAATAAAACAAAAAATAATAAAATAAATAACATTAATAATCAATTAGTTAGTAATAACTGTGTTAATAATACCTGGGTGATAAATTTATCTAATAGAAGTTTTAATAATACAGAAATGTCTATTTTATGCTTAGATCCCAAATTTCAAGTAGTACCCAAAACTATAAAACCTGAGCAATTTATTGCAAATATTGAATCAAAAATTAGTTATTTAATTAATGATAAACCTAAAATTGAAAATATAAGAATTAATTTAATAAATATTTTTAAAAATATGAAACTAGTTAAACCTAATTTAACAAAACAGCAATTATTAGCATTAAATAAAATTAAAACTTATAATGATATAACTATCACTAATGCAGATAAAGGAAATAAAACAGTAGTTATAAATAAAATAGATTACATTAATAAAGTTGAAAATATCTTATCCGATAAAATGATTTATAAAAATATAGATAATAATTGTATAGAATTAGTTGCAAATAAACTTAAAAATAAATTAAGATTATATAAAACACAAATTAATAAATATGAGTATAATAAAATATATCCAACTAATTATAATATGCCGATAGCATATGGTCTAATTAAAGTACACAAACCAAATAATCCAGCCAGATTAATTATACCATATAGTGATCATCCATGCTCTAAATTAGCTAAACAATTATCGACAATAATATCCCCTAGTTTAAGAAATAGTATATATTCACTTAAAAATTCAAAACAATTTGTTGATGATATTAAAAATTACAATATTACTAATTCAGAGATAATGATATCACTTGATATTATTAATTTATTTACTAATGTTCCACTTAATTATACATTAAATTTATTAAAAATTAAACTAATTAAAGACAATACATTGAAAACTAGAACATCACTATCATTAAATATAATATTAGATTTAATTAATTTTTGTATGTATAATAATTATTTTTCATTTAATGGTAAATTTTATTTACAAATAGCTGGTTCCCCAATGGGTTGCAATCTGAGCCCAATAATAGCTGAAACTTTAGTTTCTCATATTTTTGAAATATCATTAAATAATATACAATTTAAACCTAATTATATTAGATTTTATGTAGACGATAGTTTTTTAATAATTAACAAACGATATTATGTAAAATATTTTAATCATATTAATACTATTATTAAAAACATAGGAAATCTAAAATTTACAATAGAAATTGAGAATAATAATATATTAAATTTTTTAGATATTTTGTTAACTAGAGATAATAATAAATTAATTACATCTATATATCGCAAACCAACACATTCAAACAGATATTTAAATTATAACTCTCATCACCCAACACAACATAAAGCCACAGCAATGAAAACATTAGTAAATAGATGCTTATCACAAATTAATGATAAATATAATTTAAATAATGAATTAAATTTATTAAATAAAATATTTACAGAAAATAATTATCCTAAAAAATTTATAACAAATACTATTAATTCATGTAAAAACAAATATCACAAACAAAACAAAATAAATATTAATAAATTTGATATTACAAAAACAATTTGTATACCATATTATAAACACTTAAGTGAACAAATCAAACAGGAATTGTATAAACATGAAATAAATGTTATTTATAAAAAAGGAAAAAATATTAAAAATATTTTAAATAGTAATCCCAAACCCACTTTTTTAAAATCAAATATTGTTTATGAAATTAAATGCAATGAATGTGATTTTGTATATATTGGTACTTCTAATAGAAATTTAAAAAATAGAGTAAATGAGCATAAAAATGCTATAAAAAATAGTTATATAAATAAAAGTAACATTGCTTTTCATGCAATAAAATACAAACATAATATTAATTTTGATGATATTAAGATATCATATATTGAAAATAATTATAATGCTAGACTATTTTTAGAAAGTTGGAGAATTGAAACTTTAAAATCTAAAAAACAAAACCTAATGAATGATAAACAAAACTCCAAAACATGTATACCTAATTCATATTTATCTTTAATTAAATAATATTTATATTCATTGAATAATTATGTAATGCCTTTCAGATAACAGCCCTATATTGGGCTGTTTCTGTTGGCATTGTATATACAATAATAATTTTCTCATTAAAATTATATTTAAAAATTTCACAAATCTATAAACATTCACATTATATTGAATTACTTAAATAAATACACAATAACTGCATATCTCGAACCCCTCGCACCCTAACCTCACTAATGGTAAACACACGGCTCTGAGATATATCTCAGTTGACCGCCAGTGCTGATGAAGGAAAGTAGTATCTCTTTCCGAAACACGTGTCCAATATATCGCTAGTTATTGCGGTTAACTAAGTTTGGCCAACAAGTAAGTGATTAAATCACATAAATTTATTATTTAATAAACTTATTTTAACATTAAATGTGCTATATTTTCAATGATATACAAAAAACAATATATTGTTTGTAAAACATATTAATCACCACTAGTTTATACAAATTTTTATTTTATTTTATCATTTTATGTTTGGGTAACCAAAATGAGAGCATTCATTTATTTTAATAACAACCCTATACCTCCTAAACCACATAAACATAAATAAAATCGACAAATTGTMTTAAATATATTTATATCAAATTAGTTAATAACAAATTCTATATTTTTCAAACAATAAAAATCTAAGGAAATTTTTTATAACATTTATATATATATAAAGACAATTAATAATAAAAAATTTTTAATTAAAAAGATACAAAACTGAATTATTTTATTACTGAATTACCCATTATTTTCCATTTCTATAAACTATCTATTATTCATCGCCTGTATCTTCATTAATCATTCAAATAAAAAATTAGCCAAAAATTGTTGTTTTTTGAAAAATCATTTGCCATTAAAACAGTTTGATATGATTTTGTTGAAATTTTTTTTTCATTTATTTATGTGAATTAATTGTTTTTGTATTTATAAGTAAGAATAAAATAAATTTAATTTATTTTGCAATTTTTATTATGCACAAAAACTAAGGTGTTTACCAAATAAACAATTATATGCTACCGAAAACATAAAATGACTTATTTTTAATTTTTAAAATAACTTTATTATTATTTAATATCAAATTTTGCTGATTCATAACATTGTAATTCACAATATTTTTAATACGGTTAGAAAAAAAATCACAAAATTATTTAAATATTATATTTTTATATTATTATATAAATAGAAATGTTATCTTAAGCTTAGTATAACCCAATTCAATGGATTTATAAATGGGAAAGTTTGTGAAACCCTACAAAATAGTTTCATTGTTAACATTTTAAATAAAAAATATTTTTTTTAATTTAAAAAATTGATGATTATTCACAAAATTGATAAACACATTACACATTAATTAAAAATGTGATTAATGAGTTCAATACATCGTTTAGTTTAAATATTATAATTATTTTGATTTTTAAAAATTATTTTAAAATATAAATATTACTATTGATAAAGTTTTATGTTGTTTATAAGCACACACGCACACACATACACACATACACACATACACACATACACACATACACACATACACACATACACACATACACACATACACACATACACACATACACACATACACACATACACACATACACACATACACACATACACACATACACACATACACACATACACACATACACACATACACACATACACACATACACACATACACACATACACACATACACACATACACACACATACACACATACACACATACACACATACACACATACACACATACACACATACACACATACACACATACACACACACACATACACACATACACACATACACACATACACACATACACACATACACACATACACACATACACACATACACACATACACACATACACACATACACACATACACACATACACACATACACACATACACACATACACACATACACACATACACACATACACACATACACACATACACACATACACACATACACACATACACACATACACACATACACACATACACACATACACACATACACACATACACACATACACACATACACACATACACACATACACACATACACACATACACACATACACACATACACACATACACACATACACACACAAAGAGAGAGAGAGAGAAAGAGAAAGAAAGAAAGAGAGTTATCTATAATATTCGTATAATTTAATTAAAACCCATTTTCATTTGGAATAAAATAAATTTATTTCCTTTAAAAACACTTGTTTTTGGGTTATTTTTAAATAATATTAATTTATTGCCTAATATACATAAACATTAAAATAAACGTATTATTATTATTTGTTTACATAAAAAAGTAATTTTGGTCAAACATATTATTTATTTTATTAATTTTGTTATTTAGCAAAAATATACTTTACTAATGAAAATTTATTAATCAAATATTTATTGTACATAAATTGTTTAATATTGAATATAATAATTTATTTTTGAAATTTACACACAAAAATATTAAATTAATAAATAAATGTTTGTAAGGTTTTTAATCATTTAATTTAATAAAAATAATTTCTATAAAAATTAAGATTATTAAGAAAAACTATTGAATTATCAAAATAATAAAATTTTAAATTATTTAATTCAACCAATTTTTAAAAATACAAGTAATTTTGATATTATTGATGTTAAAATATATTTAAATTTTTAACTATTCACCTAGGTCAAAATACTAGTTATAAAGTTTGCATTAAATAACACATTATATTATTACTATTAAATGTGATATATATAATAAACAAAACTGTAATTTGTTTGAAGGCTACAGGTTGAGGACCTAAACAAAAATTTAATATATTTTAGCAAACATTTTCATCCAGATTAGTGTTGTGTTAATATAAATTATTAAATCATTTTCTTTATAATTTTCTCTTAATTTTTCATGTTTTATTATTTTAAATTATACATTTTCTTAAATTATGTAAATACAAAAATCATAAGAAATAAATAATAAATAAACAAATAAATAAACCACAGAAAGTAGAGTATAATATGTTTGATTCAATTAATTTATTATATTATTGATAAATAATTTTTTAATATTTTTAGTTAAATTTAGGAAACTTTCAGAAAATTTCTAATAAAAAATTTCAAAAATAAAATGTTATATTAATTTTAACAATAATAATGCCAGATAACTATCGATTATATATAGTAGATATATTTTTTAACCAAAATTACATATAAAATATATCACGAGTGCATTAAATAATGTGAATTAACTAAATGGTGATTGACATACATTTTGATTAATTACATCGATTGTGGATCTGATATAAGACATTGAAATGAAACGCCGGAGGAGAGAGAGAGAGAGAGAGAGCGATAGTAATAATAATATATAAATTTTGAAAATTGCATGAAATAACAGAGTGATAGCGAGACATCTAAGAGGGAAAGGGAGATGATATCAACAGTACAGTCAATAAGTATACTATACTTAGTATAGTGAGGACCAGTATGTGTGCGCACTCTTGGAATTCCCCCAAATGTCTGACAAATGCATCGTTGAGTCTGAGTTTGTGCTGAAAATCAAATCAAAAGACAAGTTTTTATTTTCACCGAAAAAAAAAAGTTTTTTCCATTCAATTTATAGCCGTAGAGCTGACTCTCACTGTTTGGGTATTTTATTAACAAATAAATAGTAGTTTGCAAAAAAGTATCAAGCACATTTTTATATATGTATTTATATATCGATAATCAAGTTTTATATATTTAATAGAATACTTCACATATAAGTGCCGACACTTAAGCTATGATTTAATAATCAATATATACTTTTAAATGACATAAATGAATGAATGAATGATTGAAACAGTTGTGACATCAGTTGTTATGATGATGTTTGCCATAAATTGATATTATATTTGTCACTCCCAACGATATAAACACCTAATGAGATTAAATTACTTAAGTTATTAATAAATAAATATTGAACAGTAAGAGAGTGGCGGACAGTGCCTTTGTCTTTAGAGGCCATGGATCCGGTTTGGTTGAGCAACAAACAGAACAACTCTCTATTAAACTCAACGACAGTCCAGTCGACCTCATATCAGGACCGACTCGAGGCGTTGGACTCACCGATGCGGGCGTTCCTCATATGTCTGTATTCCATGACATCGATGTTGGCATTTGTGGGCAATATTATAGTGATTGTCGTCGAAATATTAGGCAAAAGGTCGGCCAAAAATTTGCGGGTTTTCCTAATAAATTTGGCCGTTTCTGACATCTTGATCGGTGTATTTTCCGTTCCCTTTACATACACTGACTTTATGTTAGGTCGTTGGATATTTCCCGGTTGGTTGTGTCCTTTCGCACAATTTGTTCAAATACTCAGCGTTTTTGTCACTACATTCACGCTTACCGTCATTGGTATTGAAAGGTATGAACAAAACATTTTTTTTTTGGTTACAAAACATTAATTAATATTCATTTCACAGTTTAAATCAACTATAAAATCAAACTATTAAATCATGTGATAGTTTTTTTTAAATTCTAGTTTTTTGTGTTGTTGTTGTAAACCGTGTGCTTAACATACATAATGTGTAATTAGCTATCAAATGATTGCATGAGAAATCTAGTATAGACTTAATTAAATTAATATCAATCAAACATTAAATTATAGTTTGATTGAATTGAATTATAATTTTATCAATTTTATTTAATTAGTAGATTATTTGTAACATTTATGTAGAATATATTGAACGTATAGTTTCTTGGCTTAACATAATACCAAACATTATATTCTTAATAATGACCTAAATATTTATATCTTTATAGAAAAATATTATTAATGATTATTTTGTTTAAAGACTTAAATCAATTATTTATTTTAAATAACTTATTATTTAGTAATAATTTGAATATAATGTATTTATATATTGTATTATTGTAATTATTTTAAATAATGAGAGATAAAAAATAATATTTTGTATTATTGTTATAAACTTTCACTTAAATAATATAATAAATATTATAAGCAAATGATGTTTGAAAAAATAAAAGAAAAAATGTTATTTTAAGTCTTATATATTCAGTTTTCATTAAATATGATAATACAGTACATGTTTTACTACAGTAATAAACCTCATTAATGATACTATTGACAAATGTAAAATCTGAAAATATGTTTACATAATTATAAATAAAATTTATTATTATTTATACATTTTTAATTATCAGAATATTCATAATTAATTAGTATTGGATAAATAGAAATTTAAAAAAAATACAAAAAATATTCTAGAAATTTCCTAAATACACTACTCTTTATTGAAATCTTATTATTACTGATGTTATAATATTACTTATTAAATCTTTTTTAAATTTAAAAGCATATCTATTAGCTATATACTTTTATTATAAGTTCATTCAAAGTAATTTAGTTTATATAATTAAATTTAATAATTATTATTTATTATAAAAACAATATAACTAATTATTATAAATTATTTTTAATTAGATATTAGTTTTAATTTCCTGTTAATTAATTTATTGTGATTTTATTTGTTAGGCGTGATTCACATATTACGTTCGCAATTTTTAAGAAATCTAGACCCCCTCCCTCCCCTATGTTCGCAATTGTTCGCATGTAATCATTTAAAAAATTACGTTTGCATGTCTCTAACCGATACCCCCCCCCCCTCACCACAAGAAATAAAATATCTAAATGCGAACGTTCTTAAAGTCTCTACCCATCCCCTCCCCTCGTTCGCAAAAGTTCGCTTTGGCTAACCCCCCCCCTCCCCTCAAGTGCGAACGTAATATGTGAATTACCCTTAGAATGTGCCTTAGACGTTTGTTAAAAAGTTTGTTTATACTTTATATTAAAAGTTTGACATTTTAAAATTCATTATTATGTTTATTATATTATTGCAATAAGTAATTTTGTTAAAGTTATTGCATTTTTATTTTTTAAATAACTAGTTTATTAAATAGTAAAATCAATTTTTAAATTTTTCATCAAAATTATTAAATATTATATAAATAATTGGCTAAATTAATCAATTTTATGATATAATAATAAAAATAATTATAAGTTTTTTCAGACATTTGTCAATGAGATTACGTCAATAAATGTAAAAACTTATTATCCGATGAAATGACAGTTAAATAAACAAATGATAAAAATCATTTGAACCACTTTTGAATAATTTATTGTATAATTTATGCCAAATTTATTTTTTAAAACTATAATATAAGATTTGTTTCATAATAATAAATCTAAAAATTATTATTAATATTTAATTATCTATTATTATGTATTTATAATTACAAATATCTTTTTTATATTAAATGTATAATTTTTGATTTAAATATAATAATAATATTGAATATTTCTTTGAAAAATTAAATTAATTGTAATATTTATAGCATTTTAATATTATTAATAAAAATGTCCATGAACCATTGTTATTTGTACTGCAGCAACAGTAATAGTATTTTTGTCAATGGTTTTATTGTTATATTTAATTTATATATATTTATATAAATAACTTTTATACAATAAAAAAGATCGTTTTTATCAAACCAATTAGATTTAAATTATGATTTATATGACATTAAAAGCCACAATAATTTAATTGTCTGATCACTTAACAGCTTTTTCATCTAAGATTTTTTATTAAATATAAAAATACTATTTTATCATTAAGTGAGTTCAATAAAATATAATATAATATGCTTATGTGCGATAAAATATTGATAGTTATAAGTCCCAAATGAGACCAATTTTTTTATTTATATAACCAAAAAATGCCAAATGAAACACTCAAATAGATTAAGTTGACATTCAAAAAACATTTCAGACAACTATTTCTAATTAATATTATAGTCTCTTTGGAGTTATATATACTGTATATAACATACAATTTTTGCTGTATTTGTGTTGACTTAATATAACTTAATGTCAGGTATTGGTTATAATGTGAAGACCACCTGTAAATTACTCGTAAGTGTAGAGAACTAATTAAGATTATAAATATCACATCTAATTATAATTTTTCAAAGAGAACTACTAAAATAATTTTTTAAAAATGTACTTGTTAATAAAATTATATTATGTTATTAGTCACTATTTTAAACCACAATATATTTTAATAACACTGTAGTTTATTATCATCGTAGTATAATTAAATTATTTAAATATTTATATGATATAAACTAATCAAATTTTTATTAATTTAATTAAAAATTTTATGCAATAATTTTGTGAAATAATTTATTAACACTATATAAAACATTTTTTTTATATATTTAAATATTTAACAAACAAATATTTTTATAGAGTAATAAAAGTTTTGTTATATTTTTTTTATTTATTATATATATAATTAATATCATATAAAGTATAACATTATAAGAGGTTCTTATCTGACAATTATAGACAAAGTGGCCTCAATTTTGTAGCAGATATTAACATAATGACACTTATATTTAAATTATTAGATTTTCTTTTTAAATATTTGATACCATTTATGAAAATAATATGTTTAATATGGTAGTCAACGTTTTAAAATATTAATAAATATATCATATATTTAATATTATTTTTTTATTAACTAAAAAATGGTTTAAAAAAGATTGTATCGTATGGTTCAAAATTTATTATTTTTATTATTTAAAAAAACATAAATTTTGCTGACATTGAGTTTATGTAAATTAGATGAATTATATTATATTATATTAAAAAAATTAGCACAATTATTTTGATATTTTTATACATTGTATTATAATTTATAAATACTGTAATATAATGATAAAAGTTAAAATTTATACTGTATAATGTTAATCAATTTCAAATAAGTATCAAACTATAACCGCATTTTATTTGATATTAGTTTATAACTATGTTATATAATTAATTATAACTACACCTATACTAAGTAACTATGGTATTAAAACAAACATTTCTATTTGTTTGCAATCATTTAATTATATATTTAATTATTTTATAGTATTTATTCATTAGTGTTGAGATGAGAGACAATTGTAGAATAAAAAAATAAAATAATAGATAAGAGAGAGAAAAAAAGTGAGAGAGAGATAACATTATATAAGTTATTTGGCTATTATTATGTGTTTAAAGTTTTTTACAGTATTACGTATTTTTGCTTATTTCAAATAAATACATAGATAATTTAACTATAAAAATAAAAAATGTTTTCTTATATAGAGATGGGAGGCTTAGGAAATGGTAAAATGGGATTAGAGACGATTCACATATTACGTTTGCACTTTTTAAAAAATCTAGACCCCCTCCCTCCCTTCCCTATGTTCGCAATTGTTCCCATATAGTCATTTAAAAAAGTACGTTTGCATGTCCCTGACCGCTAACCCCCCTCCTCACCACAAGAAATAAAATATATTATTTAAATGAGAATTTCTTAAAGTCTCTATCCCCTCCCCTCAAGTGTGTACATAATATGTGAACCACCCCATTATATGGAAAAAAGTTTGGTTTATTAATTTATAAATATACAATAAAAATAATAGGATATTAAAGTATAAATTAATAATTTTAACTTCAAATTATAAATTTATTAACAATAACATAAAATTGCCCTTAGTACTTTATAAAAATGTAATCAGATAAATTTAGTAATTAATTAGTATTAAATAATTCACATATAAATTATATAAATAAAATATCTTATAGAAAAATAATAACAGTCGTATAGATTTCTTTTAATTTTAATTATAATTCATGTATAATAAAATATAATTGAATAAACTGTTATAAAGATAATCTGTTAGTAAAACATAAACACTTTAGTGAAGGTTAGGAACAAATAAGTTGTGTTGGGATTTAATTTAACTAATAATATATTTAATTATCATATATACAGTACATATTGTGAGTGATTGCAATTGAATTGAATAAAACATAAATCTAATTTTTAGTTCATTTCAATTGCATTTCAATTGCATTCAATTACATAATCTTTAATATAATACTATTATTTGTATTAATATAATTTTATTATGTTGTTTATTATTAGTTTTATTACACACATACATACGTAGATTAAATTTTAAGTATAACTTAAGCAAATAAATATATAAATTAATGCCTAATATTTGTATATTAATGATTATACTGTATATATGGAATAAATTATTTTACGATAAATTAAAATACTACTGAATTATATAACTTATATTCATTTGTTTGTCAATAATGTTTGCATTAAATGTATTTAGATTTAGATTTAAAGCCTAAAGCCTTGACAAATATATCGATAATTTTTGTTATTTATTTAAATTTGCGAAATGATTTTTAAAATTTAAATGCCTTATTTTTTTAATTTATATTATATTTATGTATAAAATAGATATTTCGCTATACTATTTCCGCTATCAAATAATAACCAGTGGTTCACCAGTCGATGTCATATAGTATTGACATTAGGATGGATATTGGGAGGCATATTAGGACATGTAGCCATGGTAATATAATATTGTATATATATATATATATATATATTATCTTATTAGTTTTGTTGTTGTTGTTGTTGTATAATCTACATTGTTGTACATATTGTACATAACAGCACTCTTTTGCTAAGTCAAGCGTTTTAGTAGTTTATGTATTATGATATTTATAGCATTATAATAATAATAATGTTATATTCAGACTTAACATATCAACCATTAGGAAGTCATATAAATTGTGTATATATATAATAAAATATATACAGTAGTCAGATTGAATTTGATTACTGATCAACAACAAAAATTTTGTCACTAAAACATTAGTATAATAAAAACATTATGATCTAACACAAAACACAAAACACAAAACACAAAACACAAAACACAAAACACAAAACACAAACACAAAACACAAACACAAAACACACAACACACACACACACACACACACACACACACACACACACACACACACACACACACACACACACACACACACACACACACACACACACACACACACACACACACACACACACACACAAACACACACACATACACACATGTGTTAAATAATTATTTATTTATGACTGTAGTGCCAAAAAACTTATAAAAATATGATTATAAAAATGGTTATCGAAATGAAATGATAGTAAAATAAGAAGTGTTTTGAATATAAGATTCCTAAGAAAATGATGAAAATTAATGAAGTGTTTCATTCAATTTTGTCTTTTCCAGTCCTATAAACAAATTCATTAAATTATTTATATTTTATTTATTCATTGATAATATAATCCATGAATAGAAATGACTTATTCCTTATAAAAAAAATTCAATAAATAGTGATTCTCTGGACAGACAACTGTTTAATTCAATGATTATTTGCTAAACAAACTAAAATGAAAGACTACTTATAAAAGCAAATATTGCTAATGAGTTTAATAGCAAATAACTTATGATTTAGTAAATAAGTTTAATAAATTAAATGTATCATTTATCTAATCATATTACACCATTTTATATTAAGGTAATATCAACCATAAAAATACAATAGTATAAAAAAAGTTAAGTCAATTTACCTAATAAGATTGATATTCAAAAATAGATGATAATACTCAAAATATATAGTATATCTATTAGTTAAGCTTTATAACAATAACAATCATATTGATAGTATTACGGTATAAGTATTATAAATAGACGTAAATAGTATTTACTTATTTTTGAATTTGAATAAAACAAATCATATATAAATATCACAGAGAGATAGTTATTACACGAAAATGTCAAAAGTATGATTGATAGTAATTTAAGCAATTTTTTAATATACATTTTATTTGGAAATTATTTACATATGTATGAATACAATAATTTCTATTAAGGTTATTATAAAGTTATTAAAATTGTTGTTATTTAGCTGTTAATTAATTTTTATAATTATTCTAATAGAATGGATAATTATTAAAGTGCTTATAAAATATCAAATTATTGTAATTAGAAATTAATGGAAAAATTATGTTACATAACTTTAATGATAATAATAATAATAAAGAAAAAAGTTGTAATTATTAAATACATAACATATTATAAAAAAAAGATTATATATATTTTTAAAAAATAATATTAATTATATTGTATTAAAAGATATAGTAAATGTATAATTATTTTCAATTGGTTTTACTCAGAAATTTACGACAACAATACCGTTTCGATGGAATAACCAGACCTACTATGACTGCCGATTGGAAGGTATGGACTACTTATGGGAACAGATCTACAATACCTCTGTCTTTATATTGACGTTTGCTATACCACTACTCATACAATCCTACTCTTATGCGTCCATCGGAAGAAAACTATTGAAAGACAAAGTCATTAATAATAGATTGGCTTTAAGGAGAAACAGTGGATCAGATCGAGACAAAGCAAAAGTAATGTACTTTTCTATTAAATATTGTTTAAACTTTTTTTAAGCCACGATTTAGTTTAATAGCTTTTATTTTCACAATTATAACCATAAAAACAGATAATAATTTATTGTTTATTACTATATATCAATTTGACTAAACCCTTAAAAATAAAAATATCTCACTATATATTAACACATATACCGTATATCTGTATAATATATTTATAAATAAAATTATCTAAAATATTGTTGTTTCCGTTTGCCATATACGGAGTGTAACTATAATATACTGTATATATTGATAGTTGTTTTTATTAAGCAAGTGCTAATAATATTGATATAAATATATAAAAATAGAATAAAATTATTATGATAAAATTTTTGTTGAAAATAAAAATTTAATATTCTGGATAATAAAAAATATATATTTAAGTGATAAAAACAAAAAATAAAAATACATTAGTTTTTATTGTCGTTTGTGACACGAGTTGACATTTTTTTAAGTTTATCCATCTAAATGAACCATACATTTAGTGACCGATTATATGCAGTTTTTCATTAACAAAAATAAGGTTAAACACTGTCAGAGAAATTTGTTTCAATTTATTTTATGAAATGGCTTTAAATTAATGACTTGGATTAGACAACTAATGGTTTTATTATTCGCCTTAAAGTTTAGTATTTATGTTATAACACTTTATTTCATTGACTACTGTAGTCTTAATATGTGACGATATTGAGGAGCTGTGCCTTAATTAATGGACAGTTTGACCGCAATTGTATCACCGAAAATACATTTCATATAATATACCCAAAAAATGACTATAAATTGTTATTGTATATAATATATAGTGTATATTGATAATATCATTAAAATGATAGCTTTTAGACCAAATTTGTAAAATAAATAACAAAATCATTTAATATTTAGACTATTATAACAGTAATTATTTAATTACTTAATTAATTAAATTTTATATATAAATATAATATCACTGTTTACTATATCTGTAGCTTTCAATATAATTTAATATAAGATAAAATAAAAAAATTGCTAAATAAAAAAAATTAAATTTAAAAAGATTGTTAAACAAAATAATTAATGTTTTATTGACTTTTATTATAAAAATATTATGACTAAAATTCAAAAGCGTTGTATTAAACAATTTATTTTTTTCTGTATTATTTTTATTAATTTAATATTAAGTTTTTTATTTTGAAGTAATATAAAATTTAAATATAAATATTTATATAGAGAAAATTATTTGCTTTGAAACACTTAATGTATGACACGGTTTTATATAAAAATATTTTATAAAATATTTATACAACAGTGAACTTATTTTTAAAATACCAAATATTTGTAACTAAAAGTTTTTTCTTTGTTTAAACATAAAATAACTATATTTTACCCAAAAAATATAGTATTATTATATATATATACAAAAATTATATATATTATTATATATATTCTAAATATTAAATTAAATTTTTCTGGTATCTTGACTTTTAAGAAATTTTTCAACTTCAATAAACTTAATTTGTTTGGTATTTTAATATTTTTTAAATAAAAACTTTATATTCTAGAGATAAATTTATTTTTGTTTATCAAAATATATCTTTAATAAATTTATTTATTATTTATGCAGTTATAGAGTTAATTCATTAATAATCAGTAAGATTTATGGATCATTTTAATGATATACTAATATAATATTTATGAATTTAATTTAAGTAAAATTGTTAAGTTGTCTGCAATGGACTGATATATTTCTGAGTGAAATTACTCATAAAATTTGCTATTATTATATGATTATTATATGATTATACAGTAATTCACAATTAAGTGTATATTACTAGAGTATTAATTATTAATATAACGATTAATTTTTATTATATATTAAATGACTTATAGATAATCCGTATGTTGATAGCAGTGGTTATAGTGTTCAGCATCTGTTGGTTACCAATCAAGACATTCATGTTATTACTTGCTTTTTGGCCAAATATGTTGGAAATTAACGATAAAATTAGTTATTATACATATATCGCCAGCTTTTTCTTTTGCCATTGGTTTGTATTATTGTATTATTTTTATATTATATTATATATGAAGGTTTATTGAGCCAAATATGATTATAATTAATAATTTTATTTAATAAAAAATAAACATCTACAGGATCTTATATAATAATTGATACTATCTATAGAATATATACAATTCATACTAATTTGTTATATATATTTATAATTTGCTTCTATTTATATATACAGTATATATAGCTTAAAAATTATTAGGAAAATACCGAACAGTTTACATCACTAGAAAATGTTTCTGAAAACTTTAATTAAATGAAAATAATTATATGATACTAAATGATAATAATATTTTTTATTAAATTGTTTATAAATTGTTGATTATTACATTTTTTTAGTTTAGCAAATAATATTAGAAATACAATATCTAAGATTAGAGACTTTTTTAGTAAACTTTTATAGTATACAATATAAATAAATATTAATATATTAATAATGATTTGTATTTTTACATTTAGGCTGGCAATGGCCAACTCTTTTGTCAATCCTATAATTTACTCATTTATGAGTAAAAGTTTTCGCGTATGTATACATTTATTATATTTATTATTAATATAAATATTATGCCTTTTATTAATTTTATTATTACTGCTTGCTTTGCATAACTTTTTTTATTGTTTGCATTAGTATAGTCTAATCTAAAGTCTATTTTATAACTATTAATTTGATAATGTTATGTTAAATTGTCTAAAAATAGTTAATATTAAATTTACAATTTGGTTAGCAATTAGCTAACAATTTGAATTGATAAATAATTAAGGTTAAAAATAATGAATAAATTATTGTTGGAAAATACTAATTAAATTTTGAAATTTGTTTATTAAGATTATATTATATAGTATTAATCTAATAAAGAGTTAGAGATTATTATTGAGTAAATGTTTACTTTGAAACAAAAAAACTCATTAACATGTTTATGAGATTCTTACACATCATATATATATATAATAGATATAATGTCTTCAATTTATTCATATATTCTATATTATAGAATATTCTCGTAAATATAGTTTGTATTGCTTATGAAATAATTGGTCGATTGTAAGCTAATAATCATTTATACTGTATGTTGTTTTTTACGCAAACTGTGTGTGTGTTTTACATATTAAATATTTTATATATTAAATAAAGTTTATTGTTTGTTATGTTAGGCTGATTTCAAGGATGTATTACTACATGTGTGGAACTTATTTGTGGTGAACCCTTCAAAGCCGACCAAACATATCAACCGAATCAGTCGCGTCCACACAGAGAAAACCATTATCCAGTTCTGAGGGGAACACCATTTCAAACACACACACACACATCAATAATTATCACATTCAACAATACATGAGCTAACATATGGATAATAATAATTATATATATATCATATATTTATTTATTCATCATTTTAATTTAATATACCACCAGCCTCTTTTATATGATAAACAAAACAAATATTATCATATTAAATAAATACAATATATATATACTGTATAAGTGAATCATAAAACCCAACCATAAACCTACACAATACCTAAAACAATGGGCAATATATTATTATCATTTTTTTGAACGATAACACATCACTACATTCCCCGACTGTTTTGTACTAATCTAATAAATAGTTAATGAATATGTGAATCATTGGCACAGATTTTGGATAATTAAATAATAATTAATTTATAAACAAAAACTTAACTATTAATTGATTAGCATTTCTAGTCATTAAATAAAATAATTTGTTACTTCTTTTAATTAATACTTCCAATATTTCTTTCTATTTTATTAATATTATATCAATATATTTTATATTATAGATATTATAATTGATATAATAATTATAAAAATACAACAGTAAATGTATTAAATTGTATTTATGAATGCATAATTAATTTAATATAACCATTTTAAATGTATTTATCATTTACACTATATTTTTGTATTTGTAAATAATGCTATATAAAAATATTAATATATAGCAATATATTTTACAATATATATGACACTATTTGTTGACACCTCATTTTAAAATATATAATTATTTATTATAATATTAAAAGTATTAAAAGTATATTAAAATATAATTATTATATATTATTTTAGTGTTGGGTAAATAGAGATTTTGTAAATTTAGTACAGTTTTGACTTAAAGCTAAGTTGTCAGTTAAATATATAATAGTATATCTAATTTTAAATATGATTTTAATGTATATTATCTATTATATAAAACAAACTAAATTATTTATATAATATGATTAAATATAAATAATTTATACGTAATATGTATTTGAAATTGTGTAGTACTGTATTAACATATTGTTTATTCAATGGTGTAATGATTTGTTTTTTAATGTTAATAATAATTTTTACTTAATTTCTAATAGTTTATTTTAGTAAATTAATATTAAAATAATATAACATTAAATTCTAATTAAATACTTATTGTATAATTAATGATAAAAGCTTGAGTCAAACAATAATTAACTTACAATTGTGATCTATAAATAATTATGAATTTTATGATTTTAATAAAATTAGAATACAGACAAAATTTTAATTTTAAAAAATGAATTAAAAAAATTTAAAGAAACTTTTATGTATTTTTAAAAAATAACTATTTACCCAACTTTATAATACATACAAATTGATACTACTGTATATAAGTCTAAATATACTATTTATATTTAAATTTAGGTATATTATGTAAATTTTAATATTTTATGATTTTTTATCTATTGGCTTATAATTTATAACATATACTGCCATATAAAGTATAAATTAATAATTTTACACAATTCTTGTATATGTAAATTTATTTTAAATGTTTTTTATATTATTTAATATATTTATAGTTTATTATAAAATTTCAAAAATTTTCCATTAAATTTATATTCTAATAATTCAAGGCTATAAAGTAATACAGAAAACTAAATTACTGGACAAATAAAAATTATTTAGTTCTATAATAAAAAATATTTTTACTAAATACATAAAAATTATAAAATTTTTAAATAAAAAATATTAACTAATATTCAGTGAATAATTTAGTTAACTATTTAATAAAAATAAGTTTCTCATTAGATAATATCAAAATGCACTAAACATAACAAATTATAACTTAAATAAAATTAGCAATATTATTATTAATTTAATGAATATTGTCAAATATTAAATGTTGCTTTTAATTAAAAAAAATATTTTTAATAAATTTGATTTAAATAATTCTAAAAAATAAATTATATATTATACTATAAAGTATAACATTAATTGTATTTTAAATTATTTAGTTTTATTTAATTTATTTAAATAATAGAATATAAATAACTATTATTAGTAATGAATATTTTGGTTATAATATAAGTTATACGACTAATGTATACTAGTAATGAATAGTTTGGTTTTAATCTTAATAATTTAAATATTAAATAATTATTTTTAGTTAGAAAAATTTAGATCTTAAAATCTATTTTATAAAAAAAAATAATTTTTATTTAAGTATTTAATTTGACCAAGTTGATTTTGACAATTCTATCTTAGCATTTTTCAATTGGTTTATATTATTATATTATATTTGAAACATGATATTATATTTTAACACTTATATTAAATAAATAAATTACAAATATTTTTTCTGAATGTATTGTATTTTTGCCTATTATTTGTTTATTTTTTTAAACATACTGTATAATTTTAATAATCATATTATCATACACTGTATAATAAAATACATGTATACTATACATTGTATAGTATAGTATTTATCATTAATTATTTTCATTGTGTACAATCATTTAATAATTTTAAATTTATTTAAACAAATATAAAATTATTATAACCATTCTTATATTTTATTAAAATATTTATAATATTATACAATAGATTTCTTAATGTTTATATTAATTAAATATTGTTTTCATTTACCGGTAAATTAATGTACCGATAATATTAATCTACAAAATCTTATATAAAAGTAAAAAATTATTTACAATCAAATAATTACCGGTAATTTGTATTAAATAAAAAAAAATATCTACGAATAATAAATATGTTATATAATTTAAAATTTAATATAAAATTTAAATTATTTTAAATATAAATTAATATTTTATACAATAATAAATTAATCGTTAGTTTGGGTATCTTTGACATCCCTGTCCCTGCAATGTGGCGAATCAAATGAGCAGTTCGACAGTTGAAATGCAATTTCATTTTGCTTTTTCTTTAAAAGTTTGAGCTCTTTCTTGAGCTGATTGTGAGCGTCAGCCGATACCACACCTGCCATCCCATGACTAGACTTCCGATGACTCGATTCTAAGGTCTTTTGTTTTTCCTTTTCTTTCGTTTCCAACAGTTTTGACTGTAATTTCTCAGCAATTGTTAAATATTTGCTATATTTAGTCCTCAATTCATCCCTTTCTTTCTTAATTTTGATGACATCCCTCTCTAGACCTAATAATTTGTCTTTAAAATCATATCTCTCTTCTTCAATACAATTCTTAAGTTTGACGACATTCTTATCGCTCAATATTTTAAATTCTTCTAAATGTTTGCGTTCTTCATCTAATATGTCTTTAATGCGTTGATAATCACTTTTATATTGATCTCTCTGTCGAATCAAGTCTTTATTAAGTGCCGAGTATTCTGTGTTTTCACTCTTTTGTTTATTGAGATTATCGTGGAGTTGGATGTGCTGTCGACGCAATTTATCTAACTCTTCAATATTCAACTGATGTGACTCTATCTTAGCCCTCAACATCATAGACTCTCTTTCCACACTTAACCGCAATTCAGACATATTTTCAATTTGGCGTTTCATTTGTTGAATCTCTTCCTTGAGTTTTGTCTTCTCTTCCTTTAGATCTTTAATCTTTGAATGCATTGAATTTCTTTTGTTTTTAAAAAATAATAATAATATTAATAATTAGTTAAACAAATTATTTATATTAAAAACTAATTAATACTTTTCCTGTTCAATAGCACAGCGTCTATCAAACTCTTGTTGTCTGATTTCAGTCATTTTTAATTCAAAATCTCTTTCTTTGTCTTTAGTTTCCAAATCTAAACGTTTCATTGACTCGTCTTTAGTTTCAAAATCAGCTTTTAATTCTGTTTAATAAAAATATTTGTATATTATATAACAAAATTAAATCAAATACCAAATTTACAAAACATGTAATAAATGACTTACTTTTTAATTGATTAACAACAATATCTTTTTGATCCTCAACTTCTTTAATACTTAATAAATAGAAATTTTTGATTCTATCCTTTTCTGTGGTAAAATCTTTATCCTTTTCGTCCAACATTTTATTTAAACGATTAGTTTCAAGTCTTAATCTATCGATCTCTGCCAACAAATTTTCTTTTTCTCTTTCATTATTAGATATAGTTTGTTGTAATTTAAGATTATTATCACTTAAACTCTTGAGCTGTGAATTAAGTTCAGATATTTGTCTTCCGAACGATTTTTCGCTGTTTTCGTGTTCTGTCACTAAAGACTCGACTTTTGTTTCAATTCGTTTATATTGTTGTTCTGCGTCTTCGAGTGTTGTCTGATATGATTTGACTTTTGCTGACAATCTTTGATTTTCATGATTTAAATCCGTAAATCTCATAACATCTGGCAATTGGTTTACTTCCAAAAGTTTGTTTCGCATCTCTTCCTTCTCTTTCTTAATCAAATTAATTTCCGATTCAAACGATAATTTTAATCTCTCGATAGTTTCGAGATTTTCTTTTTCCAAAAACTCAATCTTTTGTTTTGCAATCTTCAGTTCATATCCTAACCTCTCTTTATCTCTGATCACAGTTTCATAGCTCTTATGCAACTTATTTAACGGTTCTTTGAGTTCATCTTCAAACTGATGTTTAATAACTTGTGGATCCAATTCTTTGAGTTCACTTTTGAGAGTTTCAATCATTTTATCTCTTTCTTCGCAAACCTTAATCATTTGGTCGACTTCGTCATCCTTTTTGTCTTTAATTTGTTTGGTTTCGGCCAACACTTGTCTCATATCTGCCTGAAGAGTGACAAAATCCTTCTGCAGTTTCAAGTGTTCCTCTCTAAGAGTCGAGTAATTGTTTTTCCTTTGTTCGGAACGAAGTCTTTCTTCGGCTAATAATTTCTGTAACTCTTGCTCTCGATTGGTGACCACAACTGCCGCACGGCTCGATCCGGTCGACAACACGGGGTTTGAGCCAACTGTTTGGTCCATCATTTGTTAACAAATGAATTATCACTGAATTGAGTCCCCAATTGTGAGTACGAGTTGTCTGACATTTGAGCCACCAATCAATGAAATACATGTCATCTCATCTCATGGTTTCATCGATTGATGATTAATAACATATCTCTTAATTCAAATTCAAATCAATATCTTTGTTAAACATCACATCAAATGCTTTTGTCATTCAAATCAGTCAAATGTTTTGCAAAACAAATTAATTCATAATTTTAGTGAATATTCATTGAATTCAATCATTCAATTGAAACAAACTTTTAAAAAACTAATTTGTGTTTATATTTGGCACTAATGTTGTCATAGAAACACATATATTAAATAAATACAATCATTGGTATATATTAATGATACCGTATTTTATTAACATTATTACTGATTATTTATTGTCTATTACCGATATACTAATCAAAATTACTAATTAAAAAAATAAATACAATATTTAGTATTAACTAAATTAATATTTGTTGCTTAAAATCTAACACTTTTTTTTAACTAATTAATTAATTTTTAATTGCATGTAAGTTGTCGACCAATAGAGGTCAACACAACACTATTAATATATTTTTAAATGCGTTAAGTAAACTAATATTGTACTAAAAAAATGTAACTTTGTATTAAATCATACATTTATAAATTAAAATCAAATCAAATTATCAAATAGTATTCAAATTATATGAATAATAATAATAATAAAAAGTACAAAAAAATCTAAAATACTTTTATTTATTTATAGTATTTATCATTTGATTGAAACTTAGATAACGTTTTTCTTGCCTTTCGTAATACAGATACATAACACATATTATTAATATCAATAAATTGATATGAATTTCATATATAATTTTTAAATCTCTATTAAATCCATCGATAATATTGTACTGTATATGCAATCAATGTAATCGTAATTAATTAAAACCCAAATTTATTTAATTGTTGGTTTTCAATGGTCAACAAAGTTTGTAGTCTAGGATAAAAAGTGTCATTTTTTATTTTCATTTTTTAATTAGCAATTTTTGGAAATTTGTGTACATATTATCAAACGACTTTGAACTAAACAAATCAAATATTTTGTTTAGTCAGTAATTTTTGTAATTTTAACAGAGAGTGCCATTTATTTTATAAAGTTTCTCATTTATTGTATTTGTTAAATAAAATTTTAAAAATTATGTCAAATTCACACAATTTTGACCAAAAAGTTGTTTTAATAACCGGTAAATTTGAATTAATTCAACTACAGTATTAATATCAGTATATAATTTACTATACAATATATTTCATTAAAATTTATATATAAATATCTAAATTATTGCCTAATTAAAGGTGCCAGCTCTGGTATCGGTGCGGCCACTGCTATCCAGTTGTCAGCACTGGGAGCCCAAACAGTGATCACTGGTAGAAACGCCGATAGATTGCATGCCATTGCCTTACAGTGCAACCAAAAGTCAACAAAAGGCTTAACAGTCAGTAAAACTTTGCATCAAATTATTATATTAGGCTATCAATTGAATGAATTTATATGTTAAGTACTAATGAAAAAAGTCATTTATAAAAAAACTAATCAATAAATACTATASTCTATGAATATTTAAAATACAGTAGTTTGAAAATATTTATATAACAATCAGTCATTTTTATAGAAAGAGARAGAGAGAGAGAGAGAGAGAGAGAGAGAGAGAGAGAGAGAGAGAGAGAGATCCCCTAAAAATACATCAAATGAAATCATTTTTGAGCACTAATTCATGTTTTCCGGTCTTTATTCAAATTAATATATCTTTTCCGTACAAATAAAAAATTGCAACGAAATGAACCAATTTATGCATTTAGTTATCATTCAATTGACTTATTTGCATAACATTTGCATTAATTATTAGTTATTTCAATTGCATTTACACAATGATTATTAACTTTTAATAAATAKATATATTTAAATTGATTATTTTTACACAATGTGTAGTGTATTCTAAAAAATAAATTAATAGTTTATTTTATTACATCATAATAAAAACTTTTAAAAAACTATTTTTAAATATAACAAAAAATATGAGTTCAACCCGTAAATACATTATAATTGAAAGGCATTGGAAGTAATAAGCGATTTGGACAATGAAAGTGATTCAAAGCGATTGATTGATGAGACCATCAAAAAGTTTGGTCGCATCGATGTATTGGTTAACAACGCGGCCCTCTTTGACACCAATAGTAATATTGAAAGTCCTGATGCTATTGATGTGTTTGATAAGGTCTGAGCATTTCATTTCATTTCAATTAATTAATTTTTTAAATATTAAAAATTAATTATAATGATTATTTTTTATAGTAAGCTAATTTATATTGTGTCTAAAATATATAATAACTTTAATTAATATAATTATATTCAATTAATGCATATTTGATTATATGCATTAAAAATTAATTACCTATTTATTAAATATAATGAAAATTGAATTATAGATAATGCGGACTAATTTGCGGAATACTTTTGTTTTGACACATTTTGCCGGTTTGTTTTCATAACTTGTTTTCAATAGACTTTTTGGTATTATCTTATTGATTGTAATTATTGTAAACTTATCTAACAGTTCCGCATCTAATTAAGACAAAAGGATCGATAGTCAACATATCAAGTGTGACGGCCTTCAAACCGGTCGGACATTTAGTTTTTACCAATTGTTTGACAAATAAGAAATTTTTTTAATCAATTTGTTGCTTAAAAATAGTTTGCTAATGCATTGGTCTACTGTATGGCCAAATCGGCTATTGATATGTTGACCCGAGGTTTGGCACAGGAATTGGGACCCAAAGGGGTTCGCGTTAATTGTATTAAGTAATGTATTACAGTCTTAATAATTTAATATTACTTTAAATAATTATTTATCTATTTATTTAATAATTAATTTACTATTAATGCCAAAGTCCTGCTCAAATCCAAACCCCTGTTTACGCCCACTTTGGGATGACTGTCGAGGAAGAGAATAAAATGTGGTCTGAAGTCAGCAAAAAGACTCCTTTACGACGTCCGGGAGAGGCCGACGATGTGGCCAAAGCTGTGGCATATTTTGCTTCCGATGATTCATCATTTGCTACGGGAGTGTCACTTAAACTGGACGGAGGTTTTATGGATTCGCCTCAATTCATTTTCAGCTAAATTTATACTTAAAATTCAATTATTTTTGATTAATAATAAAGTTTTTAAAAATAAAATTGAGTTTTTTATATAAAATTATTAGTATTAATAAGGTGTTAGTATAGATCCGAAATTTGTTTTTGTAAATTAAATTTTGCAAAATATGAGTTCACTTTTATAAATACCCGAATCGATTGAGTGCTTTTCAAATAAAAAAAAATCTCATGAATTTTAAGTTTAATTTCAATTTCAATTTTAAATTAAATTTTTTTTAATACGAAACTTGATTAAACATGAGAGTGGGGCCATTGGCTACATGTGCTCATTGAATATTCTCTATAGGCTTACGATATGAGTAGTGATTTATAATTAAAAGATGTTTAGCTTTTTACTACATATTTAATATTGCTAAATGTCAACATATTTATAATAATTTAAAATATAAAATTTATATATTTATTTTCTTCTAATATTTATATTTTGATATAAAAAATTATTTATATAAACTTATATAAGATATTTACAGCTTTTATGATATTTAAAATATCTAAAAGTTTTTTAAATTGGTTTAATTTTATATATCAAACATAAACTTTATGTTAAACCTATATTGTATCTAAAATTTAAATTAATGTACATTTATTAAATGTATTTTACTGAATTGCGTACATTGTATATACAGTGCATTATGTAAATTACTAATAGACTGACCACACAAAAGTTGTGACATTAAACATCAGATTTATTACTATAAAATTTCAAATATTATTGTTAAAATCTAATCCATAAATAAAAAATATTGTAATTCTTTTTTAACTTTAATGAAATATTTGATATATTACTTATAGTTGTTAATAAACATTTAGTGACTCTAGTATTTAAATTTAATCTAAATTATAAAAATTTGGTTTTCAATTTTAAGTCTAATTTCACTATTTTACAGTATCTATTACTGATAAGAAATGATAAAAATGTAAAAATAAACTCTTAATTAAATTAATGTATGTAATAACACATTTTTATTTGTTTTATTTAATATAAAAACTTGTTTAAGATTATAACTTTAATATGGTCACCCTATCTTTCAATAATTACAATACAATTTATGTATAAATGTAAGTATGAATAATACTGTATATAAGTATTGTATGAATATGTTTGTTGGCATTATTATTAATGTCATTATAAAGTATTATTATTATTAGTTGTTTGTATTTAATTTGAAATTAACTCAACAACATTTGAATTATTTTAAAATATAATTTATATAAAATTTGAAGAGAACTTTGAATTATACTAAAAATATTTGCATACAATTAGACGTTACTTTAAATACAATCGTTTATAATATCATTTGTCAAAGAAATTTCACATAATTTTAATTTTTTATTCTCTTTATAATAATGATAATTAATGACAAATACAATAAAACCCTAATTTATTTTCAAAAGTATACAGTATATTACATTATACTACAGTATACATAAATTTTGTATATTTGTTTGTTGTGTGCAAGTATTCAAAATTCAAAACACATGTCAATATACATAATAAGTATTACATATCATCAAAATATATAATAATAGCAATGTTTAAAAATATTTATAAGTTTATTTAAAGTAAATAGACAATTATTATAGATATTTTGTTTATTTAATTATATTAAAATACATTATCTAACACTGATAATTTGTATTTGTTATAAATATATTAAACTGAATCTTAATTTAAAATGAAAGACCAAAAGACATAATAAGCTTAAGATAAAAACTAGACTATAGTTGAAAAGTGATACAAAAATAATAAGAAATAGCAATTTCACAGTTTAGTCTTTGTATTTAATATTTTGCTGCTATTGTATAATTGTTTTGACTCTCTCTCTCTCTCCCTCTCGGTTTGAAAATTTCACTCACAATTGAGTTAAACCAATAATTTGTTGGACAACTGCCCAAAGATTTAAGATCAGACTTGACTTCTCTCTCTCTCTCTCTTCTTTCTTTCTCTCCTCTAGACGTCAAATATAATTATATATCATTTGATGTCTAAAAGTTTTACTCTTAAGGCTTTTACTATGTTTTGACGCTATACTTAACTGTTTTCATAAATTAATTATTATTATTATATGTAAAATTATACTCATACGCTTATAAATTGAAAAAATTGTAAAAATTCAGAGCAAAAAATTAAAAAAGATTAAAATTTAGTCAAAATATAATTTGTTTACCACTGCTTTTGTGTCTGTATTTTCACCTTAAAAATCATACACTAATAATTACATTGAGTTTTATTTTATATTTTTGCCATAAGAAATTATACTTAAATTAACAATAGTTTTGTTTGTGTTTTTATGTTTGTAAAATGAAAATTTGAAATCAATAAATGTTATTTTTATTTATTTAGATCAATTGAATATTAATCGCTAGTAATAGCAAAATAAATAAATTATAAAAATTATTTATTTGAATTTTTATTCAACATTTTACTAAGTTTTACTATTGACAATATATTTGTGTTAACTTAATATTTTTATTTCAATTAAAGAAAATGGTTTTTATATTTTCCATTATTTGTAAAATTAAATAAAACTAATTTAATGTTATTATAGAGTTTAAGGTTTACATTAAACATTAAACATTAAACTAACATTTGAAATGTGAAAAAAGTGTTTTTTGAGAATTGAATACTAGAAATGATGTATTAAAAGGTAGTTTGACTTCTAGATTGAGAGTTGGTTTACATTAAATTGCAACCAAATTGTATTAAAAAATATCTATTATATAATTATATAACTTTATATCTATTATATTAAACTAAAAATCATACAATGATTTCCTGGCAAATAGTTTCTTATGGGAACATATATATTGTAAGCAATGATTTTATTTTTGGTATCAATAGTCGACAACAAATTTCTCACATTAAATGTCAAAATAAAAGTCACAAAAACATTATAATTTTTGCTAAAATTCTTCGATGACTTTGGACTAAGAAAATAAAGAAATTTCCGAATTGATGGGACAGTCGTATGAATACACACAAAAAAAATCAGTGTAATCGCTACACGTTTGGACTAATGGTGCCGTCAATTACAAGATCAAACTATCTATATATATGATTGTAATGTGTGTTTAAATGATGTCACAGACAATTGGTTGCGATAGCAATGGGAAATACTGGTGAACACCGACCCACCGATTATGAGACTTTAGATGCTGTAGTAATGCATCACTGAATCGATTACATAATAATACAATATATATATATATATATTGCAAGTATAGTATAATATGGTATAGTGTTGTTGTAGTTGTGGATTAAGTTTTTGTCTTGTTTTTTGTCGCTATAAGTCTATAGTCCCGATCCCACGCCAACACCAATTGTTTGCTGTATTTCCCACCGACCGGCCATTTAATTGACATTATATTCATAACTATTAGAGAGTAATAGCAACTCATAATAGTGTACCAAACAAATGTCATATTATATAACGTTAGAGCAGACAAAATAAATGCTATATTATTTTTAAGCACTAAAATGCTATTATTATTATTATTACAATAATAAAAAAAATAATAATCATTTGGTGCTGGAGCTCATAATTAACTTTTATTTCACATAAATTACTAAATAAATTATAACACAAAATAGTCAGTAACTGATAATGGACTGTAAATTATATAAAACCTGATGTATATATACTGTATATATTACAGTATATATATAGTGTGGCATTACTTAGCGGTCATAAAAGTTAACATTTCTCTTCAGAAAGTCATTTAAATAATACTAAATTTTATGTATTATATCTATGCATTCAAACTAATTGTGATTTAATTTTTAGACCATAATAAGGAAAAGACAGTTATTTTAGAGTTTTATATACATTAATAGTGATCTCAATTAATATGTGGTTAAACTTTTTATTCACTTTTATAATCACAATTAATTTAAAAAACTTTTTGTTTGCAATAAATTCTAATATAATAAAAAAAGTAACTTAGCAGTTAATAATTTAATTGTATTAGTAATCTAAAGTAATTTTGTCATATAATTTTGTCAATTATTAATTAATTATTTATTTATAAAAACATTTACTTGTTTTGCGGTTGATTTAAAATGTAATTGAAAATTTATAATTGTAATTTTTTAAAAGTAAAATACAAAAAATAATATCATGTAAACTTAATTAAAAAATAATTAGATCATTTAAAAAAACTAATTGTACAAAAAACATACAAAAAGTACTAATATATTATTGTATAAAATTACTAATAAATAGCATTTTATTTTAAAATATTTGTATCATTCAGCAAATAAATAAATGTAAAATTGAAATTCATTGTATTCATATATCACATAAAATTAAAATTATTTATATTATTAGTTTATTAAACAACATCAGAAATTAAATAAAAATTTTCAAAAAATAAAATAAATTGTTAAATCAAATTCAATTGATTCATAATATAAAGACATAATTTTCTCAAAATGATTACTGATTTGTAAAGTGAAGTTCATTGAAGTGACTTCTTATAGTGAGTGAACAAATCGTTTCATAATTTCTTTTTAGTAAACTTTCACTTATTTTTCTCTCTAAATAAATCACAATTTATTGCTTTTATATAAAATACAATAAAAGAAAAATAAAAGAAATATTGAATTGAATTTCATTCAAACAAACGAATTATCTTTTTTTGACACAAAAGTGTCGATAAAATGCAACTCTATATATATAAGTGATTGCTTTCTTACAACAATACAAATGGTAACACAACCGTAAAAATGAAGCAAAAGTGAAGTCCGTCGAGCCATGAGATGACATCCAAATCATGCCATACATTGGCATACATTGCTATACATTGCCATACAATGACATTCAATGCTTGTCTCCCAATACATGCCTTTGACTTAAGTAGTGAACACTTTATGCCAAATATATTGGATGTGTTTTCCAAATGAATGTAAATTTGTTTTTATATTCAAAAGTCATGTTATTTTTATTTTAAAATTCATGTCAAATATTGCCTCACTATTTGTTCATTTTTATAGAGCTATTGTATTGTATATAAAAATCGACAATAATTTTCCTCACTTTCCTCTATTTTGTTCATTCAATGGT